TTGCCTTGTACCCACCCTACCCCAGCTCTGGAACTAGCCGTTTCTCCAATGACTCCACTTCTTTTTAGAAGGGAATAGTATTAGAGATCAAGAGTGGGCACTAGGTATGATCATTACTACCCGGGTGTCTTTGCTTAGGCCTTTTCTGTGGACAGAGCTAGGAAATATATGCATGTATACACACATCTGTACATATGCAACACATATACATGAATGTTTACACTTGCATACACACACATATTTCATACCTATTTTAGAAACCTTTGGTCAGTATCAATACCTCCAATTTAATCCATCCCATGTAGTTTATCTTACCTCCCCCTTTTGTTATTTGTATGTCCCTTCTTTCCCATCAAGAACGCTGGCTCTCAACAATAAAACACACTTACTCATTTGTTTACTTCTATAAAATGTTGAAAATAGGTTCAGAATTGCTTTGCCCATACATCTACAAAAACAAGCCTACTAAAAAGAGTTCAGGACTTGTTTGCTGTTCTCCCTCCACCCTGACCAGGACCAAGAAGTATTTGTAGTTCAATACTATGTTTGTAGGTTACTTGGATTAGTTGGCTTTCTTTTCTTCCCTCTTCAGTTTGGTTCTGTTATTCATTTAAATACTGTTAACATTTATTTGGTTTGCTTTCAGTTTTAGTACCCCCTTCCCTTTCTTGTTGATTTAATTTTATTTTTTTATCATGTAGAACATGTTTCCAAAAGTCAACACGAGATAAAAAGGTGTACTGTGTTCTGTGTTACTTCTGCCTTATTCCCCCCACTCCCAACTCCTTGGAGGCCACTAACTTTATTATTTAACCTCGCCGAGTTTCTTTTTGGATAGGCAAGTAGATATTGTATGTTTTCTTATTCCTCTCACACAAAAGGTAGGCTCTACATAGGCTCTTTTGCAGTTTGGCTTTTTCACTTAAGAATGTCTCTTGGAAATCACTGTATATCAGTTCATAGAGATCTTCCTCTTCTTTCTTTACAGTTAAAAAGTGCTCATCATGAGTAATGATCATAGTTTGCTTGGATACATAGTACACTTGGATATTTAGATAGTTTCCAATATTTGGCAACTGCAAATAATGCTGCAGTGAATAACCTTCTGCGGAAAAAAATTTTTTTTGATTATTGGAGTTGTATCTTCAGGGTTAATGCCCAGAAGTGAGATTGGCATGTCGAAGTGTAAATGGGAATGAAATTTGTAGGATGTTGCCAAGTTCTTCTCCATAGGGGTTACACCATTTTGCATTCCCAGCGAGAATGCAATGTAGGAGAGTGCCTGCATTCCCCCATACCCTTGCCAACAGAGTGTAATCGTAAGCTTTTGAATTTTTGCCAACCTGACGGGTGAGAAATGGTGTCTCAGTGTTGTTTTAATTTGCATTTCTCTTATTATGAGTAAAACTGAACCTTTTTTCATATGTTTAAGGTCCACTTTGACAATTCTTTCTGGTGAATTGCCTGTGGATGTCTTTGCCCAATTATTAATAGGATTTAAAAAATTTTAAAGTTGTTTATTTGGTAGAAATAGCTTTTAATACAATTTACATTAACTGAAAGCAGAATCCCAAAGACCTGGCTGTGGATAAGCTATGGATTCTGCCCTCCAGGAATTCACAGTCTATAAGCTGGGCTTCCCTGGTGGGGCAGTGGTTGAGAGTCCGCCTGCTGATGCAGGGGACACGGGTTCGTGCCCCGGTCTGGGAAGATCCCACATGCCGCGGAGCGGCTGGGCCCGTGAGCCATGGCCGCTGAGCCTGCGTGTCCGGAGCCTGTGCTCTGCAACGGGAGAGGCCACAACAGTGAGAGGCCCACGTACCGAAAAAAATGAACAAAGACAAAAAGCCACAGTCTATAAGCTGAACACTGTTAGGGTGGATATGAGCATAATCTCTGGACCCAGATTGCCTGCCTTCAAATGCCAGTCCTGCCACTTAGGCAAGTTTTTCACCACTTGGTGCCTCAGTTTCTCTATCTGTAAGATGAGAATAGCATTAGCATTTACCGTTTAGGATTACTGTTAGGATTAAATGACTTACCATATGTAAAGTACTTTGAGCAGTAAACATTCCATAAATGTTGGCTATTTTAGAGCCAAGAAAATGCTCTCAATATGTTGATTTGATCCCATAAGAATCCTGTTATATAGTTATAAAAATGAGGACCTGGAAGTTTAGAAACATTAGGTGAATCAGTGGTAGAATCAGGTTGTAACCCATTCATTCATTCGTTTATTCATTCATTTATTCCACAACTATTTTTTGAGACCCTGTTATGTACTAGGCACTGGCTTAGGAGCTGGAGATATAGCCTGAACAAGACAGATATTTGAGCTCTTGGATGCTCACTTTTTTGTGCTGGGGCGGCCTGTGTGGGTGTGGAAAGAAACAAAAACCAAGGAAACCAATTTTGTCTGTCTTGTTTGTCCTTGTCTGTTCAGCACACACAACAGTGTCAAAATTCATTTGTTAAATGAAAGAATAAAGGAATAAATGACAGAGTAGTGAAAAACGAGGCTTGATGCATAGGTAGGGCCCAAATCATGAAAGGTCTTGTCAACTATTTTGAAGAGCTTGGACTTTATCCTGAGCAGAGAAATCACATGAATAGGTTTGCATCTAAGAAAACTCAAGCCAGTCTGTGTGGAGGACCCACAGGAGAAGGGGGAACAGCAGGGAGGTTGTTGTAATAAGTCCAATGGGAGATAATGGGGTCTGAATCAAGAGGGAAGCTGAGGGGATGGAGAGGAGATGAGCTGGAGGGAAATTTAGAAGTCAGAATTGACTTCACTGGGACTTGATGGGTGTAGAGGGAGGGAGAAGTCTGCAGTAACACTGAGGTTTCACTGTGATAAGAAATTGAAGAGGGATGGCTGACGGGGGAAAATGGAGGAAGGCCTTTTAAACATAGGGATTTGAGGTGACCATGGGACAACGCTCAATCTCTTGACTGTATTTGCCTTTGGCTTCTTTACACTCCTTGGAGTCAGGAGATTTGGACCTGTCAGGGCACTGTAGTAGCATATGGGATAAACTGTCTGATAGTGGAACGGACACTGGTTAGGAGGTCACTTGACTAGTAGTGCAGCCTTAACCCTCTGGGGGTCCCTAATGGGGTGTGCTCAGGGCTAAGTTAACTGCTAACTTGTAACTGGAAGTTTATTCTTTGATGGCAAAAATACTCATCTTTGCATCTTGTCTCACACCTTAGATGATACCCTGCATAAAGCAGACTGTGGCAATATTAAATAGAGGCCTCATAGGGAGATTATGAAAGGAAATCCATCATCAAGCAGGGCTTATGGCTTGGGGCTTAGGTTGTCCCGGGGCATCAAACCAGGATGCAGGGACTTAGGAAGTCCGGGAGGAGCTCCAAATCCCTTTCCATTAATACAGAAAACAGATGAATAAACAGCCCCCAAAACCCCTCTAGAATGGCACCTTGCAAGCTTTGGTGACACACAGTGCTTTTCTAGAGGTCATGCTGGATGAAAGTCTGTGAGAATACCTGCACAAGGCAGCGATTTGGACACCTGGACACATGCCTTTACCAGAGAGAAGGAATTTCTAGTGCAGCTGGTGATAATGGAAAAAATCCAAAAGAATAGGGGCCATGTTTCACAGAAGCTTCCACAGGCAGATAGTTATTTTTAAAAGTGACCTGAACTTTCTATAGGATGTCACTGGATCCCCACAAGAAGGTTCATCACAGTTAGGAAAGGACCAGCTACAATTCATTTTCTGATTAGAGTGCTTTCTGGTTTGAACCTGTAAGGGGCTAGGAGCAGCAGGGGAAGGGTATGCACAGTAAGAAGACAGGAGGAGGGCCTCATAAGTAGAAGGAAGCTATGCCAAACAAAGCATAGGATGGTCTCTAGATGGGAAACAATATTAGAGACCTGTGCAAAGAAAGATCAAAAGGAAAAGCAGGGCACCAGCAATAGCTTGGGAGTGCGGGGCGAGGAGGGGGGAGCGAAGGAGGGAGGGGGGAGAATAGCAGAGGAGGAGGTAAAAAGGAGAGAAGGAAAGGAGCATGAAAGCAACCTCACGTGCAGTGCACGAGTCAACGATTATGGAGAAGAGCTGCAAAGAGAATTGGGTTACTCGATTGGGAAGGAGGGACTTGGTTCTCTGGAGAGCCCTTCGGTTTTTACACAGACCCGCTCAGAGCTAAGGGGGTGTGGTCCTGGGCTTACGGCGGTAGGAGTGTGAGACGATTGCGGTGGGGGCGCCGCCCAATTTCTCCCCAAGGTGGAAGCCTGGGAAAACCGAGCGGCAGGCTGCAAGGCAAGCAGGGCGGAGGCGGAGCGAGGGCGCCGAGGGGCGGGACGAGGGAGGGCGTGGTGAGGGAAAGGAGGCCCTGGTGAGGGCGGCACTAGGACCCGCCGGCGCCCCGCCGGCTCCCGGGAGGTTGATAAAGCGGCGGCGGCGTTTGACGTCAGTGGGGAGTTAATTTTAAATCGGTACAAGATGGCGGAGGGGGACGAGGCAGCGCGGAGGCAGCAGTCGCACGAGGGGCTGCGGCGCCGGAGGCGAACCAGCGACCCAAACACCGGGGTTAACCACGTCTCGTCCACAACCCTCCTAGGTACGGGCCGGCGAGGTGTAGGCTGCAGGGCCCGGGTGGGGAGAGGGCGCGGGCCGCTCGGGCTCGCTGGCACCGGCCGCAGGCTGTGGGGTCGTCGTCCGCCGCTGGCTCGGCTCTCCTGCAGCCGCCGCGTCTGGCCGCCGCGCCTAGCCCCCGCCGCGCCCCCGAGCTCCCGCGGCGCGCGGCCTGAAAGGGCGGTCCTTCGGCCGCGGCTCCCGCAGCTGTCGGGTGCTCGGGCGGCGCGCGCGTCTGCGCCCGGCCCGGCCCCCTGCCTTCCCGCCCGCCGCGTGGCTGTAGCGGCGTCCTTCCCCCCAGAGGGGGCGGCCTGGAGCAGGGGTCGCAGACCCGGGGCGCGGGGAGGTCCTAGGGAGCTCCGGGCGACCTGTCACCGGGCCGGCACTCGCTGTTCTCTGTCCTTCGCGCGGAAAGGGAGGAAGGGTTAACCAGGTCGTGATGGGCCCAGCAGAGGAGGAGGACGCGCAGCTCGCGGGGGGAGGAGACACCTCGCTGCCAGGTTGGAAGGTTCTCCAGACACCCTTCCAGGAGGGAACCGCGGTCCGCAGGCCAGGGTTGTGTCTGGGGGCTCGGATTCCGGGGACCCTCGGTTGCCGAACCCATTCATGCGGATAGCGCGTGTTTAGGATGCAAGTTCAGATTTAATTGTCAAAACTGGGATTATGAGCTGTTTACTAATATTGAGATCACAGTAAGGCCCGATCGGACTGAAAGTGTCGGTGGTGTGAAGTCACCTGATCCTTCGCTCCCCGGTTTTGCTGAATGTGAGCTCCTACTGTACGTGTACAAGGAGCGCCCCTGCCCCCCTGGAAGACGCATTTGCTTTGGCGGCGGAGTGTTGTGTGTCCCTCTCACTCACAACGCCCTATTTTTAGGAGTTTAGCATTTGATCCTTCACTGTGGTGTGAATTGAACGCCTGAAATCCTGATTGAGAATTTTGATGTTACTTAAAGACATAAAGTTTTTCCAAGGCTTATAAATAGTAAAAGCCTACGGTTAGGTAAGTATGGCCATGGCATAGATAAGAGTTTATTAACTATACTAAGTATGAACTGTGTTTTTCAAATTTCTCTCCACAGTCTGATAAAGGTTTTGTGAGGTAAAATGTAAAACATTTTGATAAAAGACTCACTTTAAAAGAAAAGTTTATGTGAAATATACTTCGTCATTCATGGTAGACCTTGGACGTGTGGAACGTATGTCAGAGGTGATGACAAACTGTAAGTTTTGCTAAGGGAAAAAGAACAGGAAATAAAGCTGATTTTATTATTGCTTGCCAACCAAAGCACTTGACAGAACTGTTTACACAGAAGAAAATGCTGCCAGAGGAGAGAGGTTTGCCGTAGACCTATTCTGGTTGGAATTCTCAAGTAATAAGTTGTTCTGGAATGCTGATGGATTGGTTAATTTAGCTCTTTTGGACCCTGGAGAGGGAGGGTTGTGCGTATTTATTTACTTATCTACTTATGCCGTTTTAGATGTAGTTTCAAAGCGTTTTATGTGTTTGCCTTATTAGGAAAAGCATTGCTTTATGACTCAGGGTTATGAACATCGTTTTTAGGCTGTGGCACAGTGAGAAGAGATGCTATTTTTTTTTTTAATTAATTAATTAATTTATTGGCCGAGTTGCGTCTTTGTTGCTGCGTGTGGGCTTTCTCTAGTTGCGGCGAGGGGGGCTACTCTTCATTGTGGTGGTGGGCTTCTCATTGCGGTGGCTTCTCTCGTTGTGGAGCACGGGCTCTAGAGCGCAGCCTCAGTAGTTGTGGCGCACAGGCTTAGTTGCTCTGCGGCATGTGGGATCGTCCCGGACCAGGACTCAAACCCATGTCCCCTGCATTGGCAAGCAGATTCTTAACTACTGCGCCACCGGCGAAGCCCCGAGATGCTATTCTTAAGACTTGATAAATAGGGGTCATCATTTATTAAATGCTCCGTCTGCTACTCACAGGTTGTTGTCTTTGTGTGTGTGTGTGGAGTTAGTCCTTCACTTGATAGCCATTCCTATCAAACGACTGACTAAAATAGTCCCTCTCCCTGCTCATTTGCTCTGAGTCACCCATTAATACATTAAAAACCAAGTGAACTTTTTGAGATTTGTGTTTAAAGAGTAAACAGGCTGTGAATGAGTAGGGACTCATCTGATTTTGGCTGTAGAAACTCTTTGTCTCCCTCTGCTTTCTGGATAAAGTCATAAGAGTTGAGTTGGGGTGAGTCAGGTGCCACTCTAATAGTTTAGTCTTAGGAAGATGCTTTGTGTCTCTTAAAGAGAAGTGCTTACGCTTTCTAGGGTTATATTGTAAGACCTTTATAAAGCACTTATGAACTCTTCTATTCTAATGACTTTGTCGGATGCTAAGAATCTGTGGATGTGATTAAGTATTTAGTAAAGTGTTTTGAAATCCTTTGAAATTCTTTATTTGGGGAAGAAAGAGCTTCCTTACAGTAAAGAGGTACTTATTATAGGGCAAATAAACCTTGAGTTAAAATGAGATTCTGGCCTTAAGTCCAAGGCACCTATTTTCGGATTCATTTTTAGTTTACCTCTGTGTTTTAACTTTAGGATAAAGTTTTTGAGTATTCACAAGTGAAAGTAACTTTCTTGAAATTGTTAGACTGTTTCCAAAATTGTGTCTTTTCCATTCATCTGCTATTAAGCAGCTGCTAAGAGTATACCTGGAGGACTGTCATGTAGTTTGATGCTGGAGTTCAAGACATATTTAAAATTGTGAGACCTAGTAGTAAGATACATTTTAAAAAGTTGTTTATGCTCAATTGGAAGAGCTTTTTGACACGCAGGATTGTAAGCAAAACTGTTTGGCAGGCTGTCAAAGAGCCAGAAATGTAAGGGATGGGAATAGAAGTTAAACTTTTTTGTAATAGTGATTTATAGCTTTACAGAAGGAGTTTTTTCCAGAGTGGGTTCAGGGAAACAGTTTTTCTTTTTTTCTTTTTTTTTTAAGTGTATACATATTCTGATTGTCTAGCCATTTTAGGGTTGTATTGTTTACTCTCTTGGGTATTATTTAACTTAAGGAAGAGAGATGTGAATATAGAATAACTAAACTTGATCCCCCAATTAATTCATTACTCATGTAAGTTTCTTACTATCCTTTACTCTTTTTCACCACCCATAATACAGAAGAACTATTGAGGGTTTTCTTCATAGCTTTAAAAGTGGATATCCAGAAAAAAAGACCAACCTGAAAATATGTCAGTAGGATAATACTTGATACTTTATAAAGCACTTTAAACACCTTGCTTTGATTTTATTCTTAAAACCTTCCTGTGAGGGAATTAAGTTATTCCCATTGAAGGGAGTGATTGTGACTGGTCTACAGTCACAGAAACTACGCAGAGGTACTCTTACTGCTCCTCACCAGACTTGGAGGAGGGTAGGGGCCTTTCTTCATTGCAAATTATTACATATCATTAGAGATGACTGGGTAAAACTTTGTTGAATGAAGTCTGAAATCATACTAATGAGAAGATGGGACAGTTAAAAAGTAAAGATAGGGCAGGTCACTAAGTGGAGTGGGAAATTTTAAAGTAGGAAGACAAAAGACGGATACTGTAGAAAGAAGTAGAAGAATTAATAAAGTAGGCTTTGGGGTTAATCTGGGCAATACAAGTAGAATCTAGGGGATTCCCTTGCTAAGGTACCAGTTTAATAAAATTATTAAAATTTTATTATTTATTTATTTATCAAAATAAGCAGTAACTAATAACTTGGGGAAATGTGTAAGTGACGTTATTTATCTAGGCTCTGTAGCACATTTTACCTGTTTATTGTGTAATACTCTGATTGTGGGGGTAGTGTTTCTTTAATCACAGGGAATCAAGATCATGTAGTGGAAAAAGAATGAGGAATCAAAAGCTGAGTGACTTGGTTTAAACTCTTTGAGCTTGAAACCCCTCACATACAGTAGTGATGATAATCCCATAAGGGCTGTAGGGGGAACAAATGTGGTGATAGGGTACAAGTGTTTTGTAAATTGTAGAGCTGTGTGTAAGACACAGTAATACATATGTAAGAATGTGCCAGTTTCACTACTTGTTCTATTTTATATATATATATATATTTGCAATCAGAAAGTCTCTTCTAATTTTTTTTTCCCTATAATATGGACAAAGGTTTAATGTGGGTGAGGATGGTGGGTAAATTTTTAACTTTATCTGTAAAATGCTGATAACGTGTTCATGATTAGAGTTATTGTATTAAATGTGATTAAAATGCTTAACCCAATGGCAAACATTCTATTTGATGGTACTTATTACTATAATATGTGGTTATTTAAGAGATTTTGAACTAAACATTTAATTTTTAAAATAAGTGATTTAAAAGGTCTCTGTTCAGTTTTTTTTTTTTTTTAAAGAAGATGTTGGGGGTAGGAGTTTATTAATTAATTAATTATTTTTTGCTGTGTTGGGTCTTAGTTTCTGTGCGAGGGCTTTCTCTAGTTGTAGCAAGTGGGGGCCACTCTTCATCGCGGTGCGGGGGTCTCTCACTATCGTGGCCTCTCTTGTTGCGGAGCACAGGCTCCAGACGTGCAGGCTCAGTAGTTGTGGCTCACAGGCCTAGCTGCTCCGCGGCATGTGGGATCCTCCCAGACCAGGGCTCGAACCCGTGTCCCCTGCATTAGCAGGCAGATTCTCAACCACTGCGCCACCAGGGAAGCCCGTTTTGTTCAGTTTTTATAAGATAAAAACAAGCATTCATGCTTCTCAGCTATCTTTATTTTAATAAACTTTAATTTTAGAGAATCATTTAATCATGTGGCAAAATAGTCTTTCAGTTACAGGATTCAATGTGAATTAATTTCTTAGTTAAGGTCATGGCAGTTTTCCAGTAGAGCACATTGGGTTTTCAAACAGTAAAGGTACAAAATCTAATTTACGTCTCTTATGCACAAGAATGCCTAAAAAAGTGATTGACTTGAAACCACACTAATCGTGAATCCCATAAAAAGCTTTTTTTCCCCTTCATGTAATAGTCATTTATAGAAGAGTCATGGGTAGTGATAAGAACATACTTATTTTAACTAAAGACTTAATTTTGAGTACTGTAAACTTCCTATGGCCTTCAGAATGGAATAACATTTTTTCCTTCCTGATGGTTAATATCTACCCTAGCAAGCTTGTAGGTCTTTTTTTGGGTTATTAAATAGATAATAATCTATGAAGGCACTTTAGAAACTTTAAAGCCTTCTACAAAGAAACTCTGTAAAGGGGGTGAAATTGGCACATTCAGCGAGCTGCTCTTTTTGTATTTGAATGAATGGGTTTATGAGATATTAAAAGCCGGATTAAGTTCACTTTTATTGAAATGGTGGGGGGGAAGTTGAATTTTGAATGATAAGTTGGAGAGAAATTTTGACACGAAAATCACCCCTCTTCTTAGTTTTTTTGACAAAAACAGTTATTAATCATCAGAAAATGCTGTTTTATAGCCCTTTAATTTTAATATAGATTTGACAATGTGAGCAGGCTATGTGGAATTTTTGTTTAGAGTCAAGAAGCTTTTTATTGCATACACTTGGATATTGTTTCTCAAAAAATTCTGAAGTAGGCTAAAAGTCCTTGTGAAGGTTGAGCAATGTACCAGATAACAAATGTCTTACAACTGGATATTAAGACAGAAATTTACTGCCTTTTAAGTTACAGCTAAACTTGTGATTTAACAGGACTTGTGATCACAGCTCTTAACCTAATTGAGTAATATGGTAATTTATGCTTTGTTATAAAAGTTTAAAATTTAATTCCAAAAGCAGTAAATCTTTGTAGACACTTTGGAAAATACAAATAAAGGAAAAAAGAAGAGAGTAGAAATCATACCAACTAGTGGTAACCACTGCTAACATTTTAGTATACATCCTTTTTAAAATGCATAGTCTAATTTTTCCTAGATTAGGATCTTACTGTAATTTTGTAATTTACTTTTTCATTTCATGTTGTATTTCTCTATATGATTAAATCTCTACAACATGATTTTTTAAATGGCAT